TCCCAGTTTGCTTTCAGTTGCAGATATCTCTGCACAAGCATGCTGCTAGATTACAAAAGCTAAAACTGAAGCAGACAATGTGAACCAAGGTCACAAGTAAGCAATGAACCTGTGACAAATCCATACCTCTGACTCCTAGCCCAATGCCCTGCAGACCGGCATGCAGTGCTCTTTGCCTAATTTCTGCATCTGAATAATGGCAGAACAAACTGGCAAAAGTTCATTGCAAACAAACATGACGTAGGCAGGTGCTGGTATGGTTCATTTCATAAAGATGGTGAAGAAGCCATGTTACAAACTGCAGTTTTTACCACCATCTCCTTAAGAGTCACAAAATATTTTACAACACCATCTGCATTAAAACAGTCTCTCCGGTGCAACTGGAGACCACCCAGAACTGATCCTAGATATAGCAGCATCCTCTCCAAGGAGATTGGCTGGAATTATTTGGAGGTCATTGCCCATAAGGCATATTCTGGGCTGGATGTACGCACATAGGCAGTGCTCAGGGGACTTTTCACAGAGTGCTCTGTTTCTAGTATGCTTTGTTTGCATTTGTGTAATGGAGACATTTAAAAAATAAATAGTAGTTTAAAAATAAATCAGTGATCTTCATATTTAATGTTTATCTAGGATAACTTGCATCCATGCCCATGCTAAAAAGCCTTTACTAGCTTTACAAATCTGTTTGTTCAAGTATCTGTATTTCAAAAGAGATTTCTAGTATTTGCATGTTAAGCAGCACACCATTTCTTTTGTGAGGAAAGTTTCTTCCATACGTAATTCTACACTGAAAGGAGACTGCAGAGCCTCATAGCAAAGCTCTCAACTAGATTTGTCAGAGTTGCAATAGCCTGAGTGGCTTCAGTGTAGTTTTACTTTGCCTTAGAATCAGAGACTTCAGAATTTGTGTAATGGAGCAAATCAGCAACTTGGTCATTTGAAATTATTTATGATTTTGTTCAGCTGTACCTGGATAAAAAATAAGTGTCTGCTGGAGTCAGCAGAGAACTTTAGGAAAAGTTTTCCATATGATTTTTGAATATAAGACAAATGATTCATCAGATGTTGGTTCCACATGTACAGTTTTTACGCATGGTAGGAAGCAATCTGGCTTATTAAAGGAGGGCTTATAGCAAAGAGAGAACATCTAACCTGCACACCTTTATCACCCTCTCATTTTAGATGTGTCTGTGTATACTGTCCCTTGATTTTATGCTAGACATTTGATAAATTGATCATATTGTCCCAAATGTTCACTTCTTCCTTGCTATGGGGATGGGCTCCTGCAAGTCTCCTTTTGTGCTGTGTTAAATGGCTTTTTGCTGAAACAGTCTCGATATTCATTTCAGCCGTGCTGGTGTCCATGGTGCTAATATGAAATACAACAACAGTAGTGATGTAATCTAATTACCTAAAGCCATTTTGCAAAAGCTTGAATTTGTCTCAACCAGTCCTAGAGTAAGTTGCAATTAAGTTGCCTACTGTGGGGATTTGAAAGACAGTCCCATGGATCAGACACCAAGTTCATACCCGTATGAAGAAAGTAACACAAGAATTACAATGCTATGCGTAGCTTTGATTAACTGTCTCCAGAGTAAATACAGGCCTTGGAAACAAAGACTTTCTCTCACACCAGGCTCCAGAATTGGCAACTTTAGCACATTCTCTTTGTTCACCTCCAGGATGGCTGGCAGGTTCAGCCAAAGGAGAGAGACTGTAAATTACAACAAAAAGGGAATTCGAAGATGTTATTTTAATCAGACTACTGAATGACTTCACTGCCAAGCTAGTGCACAGTGTGTACAGTAATCAGACTTGTCTAGGCCCAGTGCAGAAGTTGTGCTAGAGTAGGCTTAGAAAGAAATCTTTCAGCGTACCCTCATGGTTGAATAATCAGCAGGCTCTGTATCCCGTTCCTCATACTTCCACTGTCGCTACTTTAGACCACTCTCTGCATAAGCAATGAGGCTGAATTCTTTTAGCTCGTCTATCTGGCACCATTTTCACAAAATGTGATCTCCTAATGTGGACTCAAGAACCCAGCATCACCCCAATAAGAAAGGATCGGAGAATCCTTGCTGGGACATGCTGATGAGTGATTAACTGTCACTGAAGTCCTTTGCCATATTTGAAAGTATGCCCTCGTCCATGTGCTGTGCTGTGTTTTGTGCTTCATAGTTAAAATCTCTCTGTTAATTACTGCATTTAGTTTCCTGCTCAGCCACAGCTCCCCCATGCAGGCTAGCTGTATTTTCTTGCAGTATTTCAAGTGAGACTTTTACTGCCAGCATTGACCAAAGAAAGGATTTTAAAATGCTCCCTCATTTTGAATTATTTTCCCTGACAACTGTATGCTTCTCACTCAACAAATGCACTTTCTCTAAGCTCTAAAACGTCTCTCAGGAAAAGTAACCTGTCTTTCCCACAAGAAGATTCAAGAGCTGTCCCTTAGAATCTGTTCCTGAGAGTTTGTATCCATGAAGCAAAACCAAATTGCAGGACTGAATTTTTCAGGAGAAGCATACCTGTCATTATTTAAAAAGAAAGAAAGAAAGTTTCCTGTTCAATATCACCATCATGAACAAAAAGCAACAGACCCGACTAAAATAGTAGGAAACTTAATGAATATAATTACTAGCTTGAGTATATTTAAGAGGTTAATTTACAGAAGAACAATATTGTTCTAGACGTGTCTTAGTTTCAGCTGGGATGGAATTGTTTTATTCAGAGCATCTGGTATGATCTGCTATGTCTTTATTCTAGGAGAAAAACGGTGTTGATATTACACTAATGCTTATAGTTGCTGCAGAGCAGTGTCGTACAGAGCCAAGGCCATTCACAGTGAAGGGCTGAAGGAGCTGGTAGGAAACAGAATTAGTACAGCCGACTTAAACTAGCCAAAGGGATATTCCATACCATATGATATTATATGGAAGAAGTTTTGAAGGGGGTGGCAGTTCATCTCATGCTCTTCTATTGCTCAGGGGCATTGGTCAGGGGGTGGTGAGCAATTCCTTGTGCATCACTTGTTATATACATTCATATATGTACATATATTCCTTTCTCTTTTCCTTTATCTTTGTAGATAGTTTTATCTAAATCCATGAGTTCTACTCTGTGTTTTTTTTCCCTATTCTCTCCCCGTCCCACTGGGAAGTGGGGGGAGTGAATGAATGACTGTGCAGTGCTCAACCACCTGCGAGGTTAAACCACAGCAGTCATTATAGTGCAGTGGTTGCCAAGCCTAACTGAACCTTTCATAACAGCTAGTGATGCAAGCCAGTAATATTTTTTGGTGCAAAGCTGTGCATTTGGAGAGGCCACACTGGGCCCTGATTGCCAGGTGAAGATCCACACCACACTGCCAGAGGAAGGCCAAGTTTGTCCTTTCTGTTTGCAACATTTCTGGAAGCTCTCACTTATGTCTTCTCAGGACAACCCCTTGTTCATATCTTCTGTTGTCCTCTCCCTTTTCCTAATATCACTGACATGTGAACACTAAATTCACTATTCCTAGTTCTTCGTGCCATCAGCAAGGTGAGCTTTGATCCACAAAATTTAGCTTCTGAGTCAACCTTGTCTTGCAGCACACAGCTTTGTAAGATGGTATGCTTGAACCTGCTTTCCATCAGCAAACTGGTTAAATTGTTCCTTTGTATTTATTCTTTAAAATATACTCATATTTTTAATCATTTTTATAATTTTTTTCATAATATATATTTAATTGTTTAAATCTTTAATTTTTAATGAGGATGCTGACTATTCTGGACTGTATTTCCTCCTTGTGTTCTGCTTCTTTGTTCATAATAATACCATATTTCATGGAAAAAGGCCAGACAGGTGACTTCTGATTCCAGAGCCTAGCAGGATCCACTGGAAGACTGGGTACGTAAAAACTGCTGAAGTCTCAAGGTCTTGCCAAAGGGCAAGGAGTTTATAAACCAGCAGGGAGTGGTGACTTCAGAGAAGAAGCAGGACAACTGAAACCAATGGACTTTTGAGATAAGCTGAGATTGCTGCAATCCAGATAGGTCCTGCCTCCCAGTAAGCAGAACCATGGATGGTGGAAAGTCCCCAGAATATGCACCCTGTAAAAGCACAGGAATCAGGTCGGGAAATAATTGATTCTAATCTATTTATCCTCTTCTGTCTCACTTTTAGAATATTTTTAAGGGTAGGAGATGGAGGAATCAATCCAGTGTTAGAGTTTGAAAGACTTATAAGGGTTTTTGGTGTGGTTAGATTAAAAACTTGTGTCTCAACCTCTGACATCACTTCTGTAGTCTCTTGCATCACTAGAATTTTTATATTTCTGGCATTGCATATGGTAATATTACCAAAGTCATATTAGAGAAAATTGCAAAAACCTGCATAAGCCTCAGTTGACAGTCAGAAGTCATCTAGAGAGAGAGTGCTAAAAACAGCTTCATGGCTGTGTCAAGGAAATACAGCTTGCAAATAAAGCAAGCTTCTGTGCAGGTTGTGCAGTGTCTTGGATGTCTTTTCCTTTCTGGCATAGCACTATGGCAGTATTTGCAGAACAGGGAGCAGCCATGTTTGCAGCATGCTCCCTGGTGTGCTTCCCTGGAGGGATCCTTCCTGGTCACAACAGACTGTGCTGAAGGCTAGAACTGGGCACATAGGCTTGTTCTTCAGTACTTGGGACCCAGGCCACCCCTTTGGTAGGGAAGGATTGCCACTTCATTATTTACAACTGCATAGCCATCTCTTGAAGAACATAATTTGCAATTGTCAACCTTATATTAGAATGAAAAAAAAAAAAAATCCCCACAGGAAGGAAAAGGAAAAAAAAAGCAACAGAATTCAAGGTTCTTCATTAAATTTGAAATCTTCTGTTGCTTGCATGAGAGAAAAGAGGAACTTGGGTTTGTTCCCTGCCCTTTGGCCCTCCTTCCATTTTCTAATTTCTTCTAGTTAATATTTGTTTTCTCTCCTAGCTGCAGTTTTCTCACCTTAAGCCTGCACTAAGTCATGGGCCAGGTGCATATTTTTCACTGCACCATGAGGATCTCACTAGCTGTACATCTTGATGCAGCTTTGTACAGACGATTGCAGAATTTGCAAATCCTTTTCCTCCTCCCTCATAACTGTTCATGAGGTTTTGACTTCTTCAGCAAGCCTTGCTGCCATGGTTTTCCTTTTAGTGGTTTGGATGCTGAGGCTAGCATTAGTGCCAGTGCCATATTGTTTGTTTTCAGCAGCACTGCTGGAGTATTTAACTTTTTTCCGAGATGGGTCTACTATCCTGAGTTGGTAGTCTGTAGTGTATGAAGCCTGCCTCCAGCTCTCTTAGGAAAGCTGTGGGGTTCTGTGGGTACTGGACTGCTGCTCCTGTATCAGCTTCATTGCTGGCTTCCTTTCTGTGACCATGAAGAAGTCATTTTGGATGCAGTTTTCAAAAGCTCTGCTGAAAGTAAGTGAGACTTTTGTTCTTAAGACACTCCAGCTTTTCAATGCATTGTTCCATGCCTTCACTTTCCATCTGTCCTTCCACCTCTCTTCCTCACTGCTCATTCAGACTCTTGCCAGCTCTTGGAAGCTCCACCGCTTTTTGTTGTTGTTTCTGTGTGTGCATCTTTAGCCTAATGTAATGGGCTCCTGGTTTCAAGCAGACAGCATCTTGGGGCAAATAAATGCAGGACAGGACTGGAACTTGCAATGGGTGAATCTGAAATCTAGGCTGGTCTATTCTGATCAGGGAATGTTTATTGTCAATGTTCTTCTCTGTTAATCACTTATGCATGTTGGACTGAACAAAATGGTTTATTCAGGGCTGTTTGCAGCCCTGATTAACATGTAGAAGAAGTTTGCATCTGCAAAGTACTGGGGTCCTTGAGAATGCCCATGTGTGGGAGGTGTCTCCAGCCTATGTGGAGAGAGCAAGAGGTGCTCCTCGAGGCCTGCAAATGCCATGCACCACTCACATCTTAAGTCCTGATGTGGACAGATGGCTATGCACAGCTCAAAGCTAAGTGCTGCTGCTACTAGAAGAGGGAGGGAGGCTGCAAAGAATAGCTGTCCTAAAGAAATACAAACCCACTGATAGAAAGAGAAGGGCAAAATGTGCAGGTGGGACTGTGAGCTACTCCAGGTTTCTATTCCCTCATTTTTGTTGAGGAAACAGAAAATACTGATATGTAAAATATGACTAAACAATTAAAAATAAGCAAAGAAACAAAACCCATAAATATTGCCAGGGATTTTATTCCTCCAGAGTTTCCAGGTACATGTTAAGATACTTGAATCTATGTTTTAAAAATAAGGTTTTAAAGCTGAAAACCCAGCACACATAAGGTGACCTAAATGAATGATGAATACGCATCAGTTCCATCAGAGTCTGATCTGAGGTGCACAAGAGGTGCTGCTGGGTGACAGGAGTTGTTACTGTTTGTGCTGGTTCCTCGCAAGCAGGAATTCATTGTTAAATCTGTGGCTTTACTTTGTAAATCTGGTGGAGCATTGCTGACTCGGGTCTATGCAAGACTGTAAGTATTCTGTGCCACAAATTTTCATCACTTGAATATTACACCACCTGCATGTAATTAGCAACTTAGCATCAGAGGATAACCAGAAAGTTAAAATGGAAAATCTAATCAATCTAATTTCCCATTTCAAATTTAAACAACTAAGAAGTGACACCACAAATGTGTATCAGTCCCCTCTCTAGACAGATTCTCTCAAACATTTATTAGAGGCTTTTTTTTTTTTAACAAAGTGCATAACTTTGAATGCATATCAAACACATTGTTATTCATGCTAATATTTTCAAATTAGAAGCTATATGTGGTGCATTTTACAGAAACTGTTTCAGTGCTAGCCAAAACTTCAAAGCTGCTGTTACTGAGGGTCTGGCAAGACAGGGATCTGATGTTGGTTCAAGCATTGTATGTGCTTGACTTGCATTCAGGAGTACTTATGACAGGCAGGTCTTAAGCACTAGTTACAAGTCATGCAGATAGTTACGTGCCTGTGTTGTCCATGCTGAATGAACATGTTGTCCCACCTTGCTTTCCCAGAAAGGCTGGGCTGAGGCAAAACATCTTCTCAGAGCTGGAAATAACTGGGGCGTTGCTGTGGCATAGCTCCTGGGTCCCTGGATTTCCAGATGTGCCCATGGGACTTTGCACCTGAATCCCCTTAACTTGCCTGCTTAAACAGCAACGAAAATAAGCGACTGCCTGCCTTAAAGAGTGCACAAACACCAGTTTTATGATCCTCCCACCATGTCCTTTCCACAGGACTAGCTTCTCTGCTGCCAGACTGAGCACAGCAGCCCAACCACATGAAACCCGCCCGGCTGACTGAGAGGTTTCTGATTACAGAGCCAGCTTCAGACTCAGCTTGGCCCAACTGCAAAGTTAATTGGAAATATTTGTCCAGCGAGCTTGCCTTGTGGATTTTGTGTGCTGTTTGATTTCCTCATTCTTGGTGTTTAATCTGTCATATCAGAATGTGTGGTTAGTGCAGTCAGTTGGCACCGTCTGGAGGAGCAGGAAGGAGAAGCCAGGAGATGGTACAGCCCCAGCTTGTGGCTGGGCAGAAAGTCCCTGTGGATGCCCCCCTCCACAGGAATGCCTGGTGGGGTGAGGGGCCAAGGTTTTGTCCAGAGATTTCAGAGGAGGAGGGTTGACGGATGGCTGCCTGCAGATAGCAGCCACTCATTGGGTCACTGCCATTCAGTACAATGCCTCCTTTGGGCAGAAGTGATAGAAGTTGCATATCTCTGTGCAGGATCATTGGCTGATTACCCCAGTATAATTGCCAAGTAATCCTAATTGTGTTTGCTCTTTAATCCAAAATGTTCTTAAAGACTTGAAACCAAGTCCACTACCCTCTTCTAAGTAAAAATATTTGTTTCACCGCTTCTCTAAAATTAGGTAAATCTCCTTGCTTCCTTGGTCTTTTTACACTAGTTGAGCAACACCTTTACTCTATTTTAAAGCTCTTTTGCCAAGTTTTTGTCTTAAGCACTATTGACAAGAATATGAAAGGAATTAGAAAATTATTATAGGATTAAGACAGAATCTTGCTCATACACAAAAGACATGTTGATTCCTTGTCCTCCAAAGAGAGCATTATGAGTTTTGCATTTAAATCCGGCATAGTCAAATATAAAAGGAGCTCATGTGCAGTAATGTATGTGGTAGGTAGGAAAGTAATGCACAAAACGAGCTTTGATTAAATATCACATCTCAACACAAAAGTAATCTTTAAAATAACAGCAAAAATCTCTCTCAGTTTTTAGTGGTACATTTCTGACTTACTGATCTTCTGATGTATTTTTTGCTGCTTCTTTCTCCTCAACAGTCATGTTTTGCTGTAGGGATGGACATTTTTTCTAATTCAACAGTAATTTCCCATATAATATAAAATTAGATTTAACACCAAAATGATTAATTGAATGCTACTTTTTCTATTATCTCCCATATCTAATTTTCAGCAAATAGAACCCCTCATCCTACCCCATAACCTTTTCCTTGTAACTACAGGTATGCTCACTTTTTTCATAGCAATGTCATATATATGATAAGAAATTCTTTTTTTTTGGGTGGGGGGGGAGAGGAAGGAGGTTGTGAGGAATGACATTCAGCTCTCTTGATTACTCTCCTTTTACAAAAATTGACCAAAATAATCATTACCTTAAACCTGTTCTAAGTGGACTTCCATCTGTTTGAAGCTTCCAGCTAACTGACAAACAGTTCTAAACCATGAACTTTGAGAGCAGTTCTTGCAAACCATGAAATTCATGTCAATGGGAATCTTGCATCAGCGAGGACTTCCGGATGTGGCTGTGTGCATTACTCTGTTGCTTATTACAGCTCATGTTTTCTTCTCCCTTTGAAAGTCCTGTTTGAAGTTGCTTCTTAATCTCATAAGTTGTTGACTTGAAAGGGCCTATCAGCCCTCTTAAGTATGAGTCATACCGGCTCTCAGTCATCAGCATTGTCCAGAAATGTAATATTTCCCTTCTCATCTCTTCTTACCCCCTTAACCACGGGCAGCAGTGATTCATACTTTGAAAGAGTTTGATTTGCATTTGATATGAGTCAACAACTAATTCAAGATCAAGAAACAGCATCAAATGGGCCATACAAAAAGGGAAGGAAGCTTTTTTGTTTACTGTGGTTGAGCGACCATTAGTGACTGGTTCAACAGTAGAAGCATAGATGTTATACTTGAAAAATCAAAAGGTAGACTATGCTGTCTTGAAAATCACTTCACACAGACACTGCTTATGTTTAAAGAAATTAATGCATGCTGAAATATATCATGTTCCAAATAAATCAAAATGCACAACTTCTTAATTAAACATACTTGCCAAGAGCACATTTCTGCTTTTATTTATTTACAGAAATATTTTGTGCTTTTTATAGGCAAACAGGATTATGGAAATATCTCTTGTAAGAAATTCTTTTAGGAATGCACTTATTAATCTTTATTTTAGACATAAGTAATTATATGCTTGCTTGCTACTGATGCCTGTAGGCTTTAATCACCTCTTTAAAGGTAAGTGCATTTATAAATGATTTTCCTTCATTGAGGTCTAAATGCATAGAATGGGGCAGAGAAAAAGGAAGGGGCCAAGATCAGCCAAATGGCTGTAAAAGTTCAGTAAGTCTCTACTTGCAAATCTAGAAACGTACTTCAGAGATGTTGTGCTCCTACCATTGATCAATTCTAGCTGTGTGATCCAACTTCACAGAAGCAGATTTTGTGAGTGGACTGCATCCTGCAGTCTTGGCGCAATTTTCCTTGGGACAAATCCATATGTACAATTTGAGTCTTGTCACTTAGTTTTCAAAATTCACTTTGCCCAGAAATGACTTGTATCTTTAAACTGTAGTGAAAGAAGCTGGAAGCAGTAGGAAGGGAAACAAATTTGTAATACCATGGTCAAGGAGTAAGTTTGTTTTTCCCATGCTATTCTCTTGATAGTCAACTTTGGTTGTTTCTGTTTCCCTTTTCACATCGTCTTGGTTGTGTAGCTTAATTTGTATGGTAGTTGAGCCCTGTCATCATGTGTGTTAGGTGATGACCAAAAAGCAGTTGGCATTTTCCGTGTTAGTGGCTGCTTTAAAAAGGAGTTTGGAAGAAAAAGAGATGGACCCCTGATTAAAGTCAAGCTGCTTACATTAATAGCTCTGAACTAAGGAGGCAAAACAGTGTCAGACATCTCTGAGGAGACATTGCCCTTTCATCTCTTGATGAAAGAGGGAGAAAAGATTGACAGTACAGTAAATTTTGCAAAGCCTGAGCTTGTGCTCCTTTGCTTGTGGCTCTGTACAATATTTTCTTCACAGTTCTTTCCACCACAGTTGCTGGATCCTCATTTTCTTTTTTACTGTACTCTGTTATGGAGCTTTTGAGCCTCTGAATGTTCGTTTTTTCCTCTTTCTTTTGTGCAAGTTTGGG